AACAATGAAGCTTGTCGCAGCTCTCCGTTCGATAACAATCCACTGGTAAGCCAGTCTGCTTTCCTGGATCACCTCGGAATTTATATATTCTGAAAAGCAGTGGTCAAAAGAGTACCTCGCCACCGTCCTGACCCCCGACATTAGCTGCCGTGAGGGACGCATTAGCCCCAACGGAACTGCTCGCCCGACTTGCGCTCTGGGATTCGCCCGCGGTGACTTGGCTTCAAACGCATCCCTACAACATTGCCGGATTCCTCCCGCCATTGCCTTTCTCCTGACCATTCCCTCCGAATCTCACCACACCACATCACTCCTTTCCTCTATTACTCTCCTGTGGGATCACTCCCCACCCGGTCCATGGGCTCTAGGGTCAATTCTACTCTTGTTAACAGCGCATCCCACGCAACTCGGAGTCCATGACATCGCCCGGAGATGCGGCTCCGGTCAAGCCTCCGCCGTCGTTCTCGCCCGGCGTTCCACGTGTCGCATCCAAGTCGAGATATCCGAATCAGCGCCGCGACTCGTCATCGACCCTTGATGCAGACCTGGTAGACTCGAGGATCCGCTCTCCGACCCCGCCCCTGACGGCCACGACCGCAGAACTTCCGATTAGGTCGGCATCGCCTCGTGCTCCTTCTTTCCGATCGTCGACTCCACAATTAGCCCGATCATCCCTGGGATCCCCGGTAGAAGGTCGTTTCGATGGCGCAGAGGAAATTCGTTCTCTAATCATACGCTCGTTCTCCCCGGTGGTTGGAGTATATGCATCAGCAGACACCGATGAGTTGGTACGACAGAAAGGCTTCGCTGGTGGTTTCTGGGAGTTGGTTCGCCCTTTCGGCGAGAATGTGCCCGGAAAGTTGGTCATAAGGGACAGTGTGGGGTCGAGTCGTGGCTGGGAAGACTACGGGGTGCGCTTCGTGAACTTGGCCAGCAACAGCCCGCCCCCTACCAATTCGAGCTCAGGGCGAAACCCCTCCCTGGCACAGGTGGAAGAGGTCTTGGAGAAGCAATTGGGCACGACAGATGATCCGCTGGGCGGATCAATGCGCCCCAGAGATTTCTTGAATTTTCCTACAACATCCCCTTTATACAAAGTATTTCTTCGGCACCTTCTATCGATATCCTCGGCCACGCCACATGAAACATTTCGACATCCAGTGGCCAGCGTTATTGCTATTAGCTCACGCAATACTGCCCCACTTGAAACCCTCAGACAACTGTATGCGGATACGAGCAATGGGCCTAGGAGGTTGCCAGATTGGTGTCACTCTGAATACCTCCGATACTACGTTCTCGTGCATGACGAGGATCGGGATGATATTGCCGAATCAACCAAGCTGTACGACCAAATGAAGCGTCATTTCGGGTTACATTGTCACTTGTTGAGGCTGCGCAGCAATCAGTGCGTGGTTACCGACGATGACAGTGTTCAAGTTCCTGAATGCGAATGGCTCTCGCCTCCGGAGCGACTTTCGGGTGGAGCTGGTATGACTAGACCCCTGCATCTACAATACCGATCACAATTACTGACGATCAACAGAGCCCTTGGTTGACCTGGATAATAATGGTCTTTACCTTTTCGACTCGGATATTATGGCAATCAAGGCCTTTATTCGAGAGCTAGTTGCACAGTCCGTCATACCATTCATGGAAAACCGAGTCGCTGTTTGGAATGACCAGGTGGCCTCCCGTAGGCGTGGTATCAGTGGCCGATTCATGTCCATGTCACGGAGATGGGCGGGGTTCGGAACTGGCTCTCGTTCCAGTCTCACATCGGGGGGAGCTAGCGGAAACTACGATGTCGCTCACGGTTACTATAGACCAGACACGCCTGAAGCCCTTCTGCGTAAAATGGCCGACTTCGCGTTCATGCTCCGCGACTGGAAGTTATCAGCATCCACGTATGAGCTTCTTCGGTCGGACTATGCGAATGACAAGGCTTGGAAGTACCATGCGGGTGCCTACGAGATGTGCGCCGTAAGCATGCTTCTCAATCCGGCCGCAATGGGGACTAAGGTGAAGCTCGACGGAATCGATCAGATGTTCGACACGGCATGTTATTCCTATCTTACACGGTGCTCAGACACACCTAATGCACTTCGTTGCCTCACTTTAGCCATGGAATTGTTGAAGTCTCGTGGGGGTTCGGCAGTGGAAAGCGCCGCTCGATGGGCCATGCGGGCCATGGACCTTGGGCTTGTGGGATCCATCGGCCAGGGCCTTTTCAGCGAGCGTGTGTCGGCATGCTATGCGGCGAGGTCACCGGTGAGCGGAATGAAATGGGGCTCTCGACGTCGGAAGGCTGGAATGTGGAGTGTATTTGCCGCCGATATGTGGCTTCGTCTGGGGAAACCGTCACTAGCATCGGCTGCTCTCGAGGAGGCGGAGCGACTATATGCAGATGTATTGGATGGCGATGGGGGATTTCCAATGCCCGAGATGCAAACGTTCGTTGATAACCTGAGACACGCCGTCAAGGTCGAGTACTTAGAAGCCCGAGGGCTAGACACAAGGGACGAGGCAGCCACTGCCGAAGCACTGGGGACGGAAGAAACCAGCGAGAAGCTGGACCGGCGCATGAATCGCAAATCTTTGATCTCGAATCCGCTGGATTCGGGCGGTCTTGGTCCGGCGCAAGGCACGAGAGATGATGACAATGCAGCCAATGACGACTTCGAACGAGCTTAGGGACGCAATTATGGTGCGACGGGCGCATAGGTTTATACAATATCATAGACAAGTGTCAATTAATTTTTCTCTACGTGTTTATGCTAAATTGGATTCATCACTACCTCTGTAGTCTTAACATCTCAGATCCTTACCGCCTTTCAGACCGCTTACCCCGGCAGAACCTAGCGAACCTCGCTCAGAAAACCTCGGATTTAAGCGGATCTAAGAACATACAGTTCCCAAAAAAAGGTTCCGAAATCTGTTGAAAATTGGGCGGTGGCAGAAAATAATCGCCCGCTGCAGCAGAACCACCGCACGTGACCAACTCTTATCGATAAGATGACCTCCCCGACAACCAACGCTAAGGACGAAGTGGCCCATTTATTGACATCAGATAGACATCCCGATACTACCTCAGTAGCATCACGCACGCACGGGGGCTATCCAGCCTACACCGACGGGGTGTACTCTTTTTTACTGCTAATACATAATATATACCACATTTAGATATTACATCTCATTTCTCACTGTCTCACTTTACATACTCATCTGCCACTCACCATAACAACCACAATGACGACCCTCCTTCAATACATCCTCTCGCAGGATTCCTTCAGAAAGTCCGTTCTTCCCCCGCTTTGCCCTCCTCTTTAGCCACTTTTACTGACACATTATCTCCTGTTTGTTCCAGAAACCGCCTCCCCTCCCTCTACTCCGACTTCCCCATCCACCGCAAGACCAACCCCGAGGGATACACCACCAACATCGCAGCCTGGGAACATGCCTTAACCTCCGCCGCAAAGCACGGCTACATCGCTCCACATGGGCCCGCCTCGAAGGGCAAGGCGAACCACTTGATACTTAGAGCTGATGAAACCTTGCTACGTGATCTGGAGATCCCAGAATGTGGACGGCCTGTCGCACTGGGTGCGGTCTTTGTATGTTACAACCATTTACAAGTATTTGAGGAAAAAGGGGTGTGCAGTGACTAATCATGTCTCTGTGTGATGCAGGACGAAGCGACAAGGAATCGAACCATGGTGCCTCTGCACCTTTATCGGACTAATCCGGCGAGTTTGCGCAAGCCGCAGTGGGGGATTGATACGTCTGTGTTGAGTCCATGGACTGTCATGAGCTGGGGAATGAAGCAGTTGAAGGGCGTTGTGATTGGAGGTGAGGAGGCGACGCCAAGGTTACAGCCTCAGGAATTGGTTTTGGTGGAGAACTTGAAGGTAGGTTGCGTTGGATTGGGTTCGGTTCGCGGTTGTTGGAATGGGTAGGACTAATGAGGTGTGCTTATAGGAGGCTGCGGACCGTGTAGTCAAGCACGCCACGGCGAATAGTCCGTCAAAAACGGACTTGGTCTATTCTAAGGAAAGCTTCGTGAACGAGTTCGCGGGTGTTTTGGATGAAGGGAGTCGCCTGTCGGACGCGGATATGGACGTGCTGTTACTGTATATGTCCCGTGATAGCGGTGCTATTGCGTACGATGGCAAGGTATGTGTCTTTGTTCCTATGTCTCAGTGTTTTATCTATACCATGTAGGATGCTAATTATGTTGCAGACCATCAAATTCAGAACCAGTGACGCTCCAAAAGATATCACAGAGCAAGATACCGCCGTCGCCTCTATCAAAACGCTCATGGCGACTATGGCCAAGCAGGTGGAAAACCTGGAGAATAAAATCACTGAGCTTAATGCGACTGCCAAAATGGCTCTGCAAAACAAGAACCGCGTTTCTGCGCTCTCGGCTGTGCGCTCTAAGAAGCTCGCGGAGCATAATCTGAAACAGAGACTGGATACCCTGATGCAGCTTGAGGAGGTATATTCCAAAATCGAGCAGGCGACGGATCAGGTGCAATTCGTGAAGGTCATGGAGGCAAGCACCGGAGCACTTCGAGGCTTGCATGCTCAGATCGGTGGTGCGGAGAGGGTCGAGGATGTGGTAGAAGAGTTGCGTGAAGAGATGTCCAAGGTGGACGAGGTCGGAAACATCATGAACGAGGCTGGTCCACAGATTGATGAGACTGAGATCGACGACGAGCTGCAGGAACTGGAGAACAAGGAGCGGGAGGAGATGGAAGAGAAGGAGGCAGAGGAGACTCGCAAAAAGCTCGCCGAACTCGACAGTCTCCAGCAGGGCGCTCAGGAAGCCGCTCGCAGAACAGCAGCGGAGCGAGCTATGGAATCGGAATTGGAGGACCGCCTGTCTCGGATGTCGGTCGAGGAAGGTCCCAACACCACTGCTTAGCGCAAGACGATGAACAATCCTCCAGGGCCTGGGACCTGCATAATGCGCATATTCTAGGCATATACACCGAGTGCAACTAATTTTGCGCATTGGTCATCTGGCTATCGACTGAGCCCTGGAGCGTCTGCGCCTGTACCTCAGGAACAATGACGGTTTTGTCTTCTACAGGCAACCTCTCCGGGGGGTGGGCATCTTCCGCCGTATGTATGGCTTCTGTGTGCTCAACAACAGGTGCACTCGAAGGCTGATACGTTGTCTGGCTGGCAAGTTGGTCGGTTGCCTGATTTGTGCCTACATTCTCTTGTGGTATCGTGGCGCGCACCTGCGCTTCGCTCTTCTTTCGCGCATTCGCAATGAGTCGCTTGAAGTCATCATCATGGCTCGTTGACCAGGCCGCCGCATCGAAGTCTTTGCGCATGACGGTATCTGTGACATCACCTGATAATTGCGCTTGGCCGCCTTGTGTACGTTCCCAGATATCCAGTTCTCGCAACAATTCCCTCTTGGACTTTGGCGTTTTGGAGTCGCAGTTGGCATTCCATAGATTCATCCACTCTGTGTGACGTCGTTGCAGAAGGGGCCTCGGGCCCGTGTTCGGTATACCCAAATCTTTTAACTTCTTTCGGAGCACATTATCTTTCAATAAAGAATAGTTTATAATGGGCAGTCGTTCTGGTGTTTTATTCAGCGCGTCTTTTGATCTCTGCGCCACTGGTTGTAACGAGCTATAATTCCAAGTCAGAGGCAAACATGTAGACACGCTCCAGAAGACATATCTTACCCAAAGTTCAACTGTTTCGGTGGCGCCGGCTCTCCAGTGCATGTATCCAAATGTCGAAATACCGCCTCGTTCTTCATCCTCCGGCTGCAGATCGGGCACGCGACTAGTCCGTCCTCTTCAGTGGCAATTAGCATGCGACGCAACTTTGCCGATGAGTATACACACCTGGAACATATTCCTCATCATTACTATCCTCAATGACCTCAATCGCAACAGGATCCTCCTGAGAGCCCACTCCCCGAGTTTGCGATCGAGTCCTCACGCCCTCCGCAGCAGGTCCATCTACCGCCTCGACCTTTCTCTTTTTAGGTGCTGGCTCCTCTGACTCTGCCTCTTCAGTCGCACTTCCCCGCGCAGCAGCCTTCCTCGCCAAATCTATAACACTAGGTCTGGCATTCTGGAACGCCTCGACCAGTTCCTGAACAGCCCAGTTTCGCCGCAACTTCAATTCCTGATCAGAGCTGCGACACGCGGGGCATTTGCCTTCCGTGCTCAAACACCGCCGAATACAAAGTGAGCAGAATGTATGACTGCACGAAGTAATCACCGGGTTATCGAAGAAGTCCTTGCAAACCTGGCAGCGGAGGGCGGACTCTAGAGGCGCGACGAGTGACAGTGGCGTTGTGAGCCAATCGGTCGAGTCGGGGAGGTCGAAGGTTTGGTCCATAGGGTGGGTGGGTGCAGGCTGCGGCGACTATCGAGGTATCATCGGATAGACAGGTAGGTCTAGTGAGCGAAGGCAGGGTGTGAAGAGTTTCTGGGGCTGTAATAGACCGTGAATGGCAACTGGCGATCGTCAAGAGTAGTTATTGTGATGGCGTCGGAGACTGGCTGCGATGCCAAGACCCGCTGACTGATACGCGTAAAGTGCTTCCAGAACGCGTCGTTCAATGTTCTACTCCGCATCGCATGTTGCTTTGAACGACGCCGTTTTTCACGCACGATTAAGGGACGGTTGTCATCATGGCTGTTGCTGATTATAAGAGGTATCTTGCTGAGAATGTTCTCAATGAGCGACGCACGGTGAGTCATGTCTAATGTGCTGCAAGCTGGATATCTACTAATAGCTTCGGCGCATGCTACAGGTCACCTACCGGTCCTTAGGTCGAGCCCTTCGGGTTCATAGTACTTTGGCCAAGCAGTATGTCTTATACGAATAACACGAAGTTATGCATATGAATTATTCTGATTGTTGTCGGAAAGGATGCTCTTTGATTTCCACCGCAACGAAAACAACAAGAAGCAAAACAGCGTCAATGCGACTTACATTATCACGGGGATTCAGAAAGCGCCCGAGACCCCTTCCACAACGAATGGCCTTCAGGACAGCTTCGATGGCATTCCCCAGAGCAGCCCGTACATCAGCAGTTCGATGCCAAACCAGGATGTCGCTAGGGATGAGATCGCCACGTCCTCGGTTGTGCTTGTACGAGAGGAAGACTTGGAGGGTACGTGGAATTGCTTCCATTGCGTTGCGCAAAGGGTGGGGTCTAATAATTGAGTGCGCAGATGCCAAGGCGACTTTCCAGTCAACCTCCTCGATATACGTCTACAGCCTTCAGCCAACAGTGCTTCAGGATCTCAACGTCTTGACAGATGTTGCGGGAGAGATGATCGCCAAGCATGCTCAGGAGGATCCCTTAGAATACGGCAAGACCTGGGGCATGATCCAGGGCAACAATGTCCGGGTAAGACATGCGCTTGCATTTCCATGTTCCTCTGATACTAATGCGATTTGTGCTGCAGAGAAGAACCGGCGGCCGCCCTCCCGTACCAGCTCCCGCTCAGGCTCCGGCTCTTCCTAAGGCGACTATTCCAGCTAAGCGTCCTGTTAAGGAAGAAGAAATAACACAACCCAAGAAAGAACCTGAAGACAAGGCCCCGAAGACGGAGACAACGGCGAAACGCGAGGAACCTCCAGCGTCTAAGCCAACTGAGAAGACAGCTCCTCCAAAGCAAAAGGGCAGTATATTTAGCTCTTTTGCAAAAGCCAAACCGAAGCAGAAGAAGGAAGAATCAGAGACGCCGGCTACTTCGGCTGCCGAATCGGTCAGTCCCACCACTTTACCTGAATTCCTTTGTATTGAGTGACTGACAATCATGTAGGCCGAGCCCAGTGCTGCTGAAGATGGTGAGTACTTACTGTCTTTCTTGACGTTGTACACATACTGATATGTAGCAGTGGTTCTAGACGACGCATCAGATGGGGATGAGGAGCCCGAGGAGCTCTTCCGAGACTCAGGGAAGTCCGCATCCGCCGGTACACGTGAGTCGCGGAAAGAGCGTGAAGAGAGGCTCAGAAAGATGATGGAAGATGATGGTACGTTGCCTCCTTATTGTCGGTAACTCTTCTGACTGGTATTAGACGAAGACGAAGACGAAGAAATGCCCGATGCTGCACCGTCACCGGAAGAGTCTAAACCTATCGACGAGCCGCCACCGAAACAGGCTGAACTCAAGGAAGAAGTTACGGTGAAGGGCGGTCGTCGCAGGGGCAGACGCCAAGTCATGAAGAAGAAGACAGTCAAGGACGATGAGGGCTATCTTGGTGAGATTATCAAATGTTACTTGAGTAAGGCCATCACTGACTTATTTCTTGCGTAGTGACTGTTGAGGAACCAAGCTGGGAGTCATTCTCAGAGGACGAGCCAGCACCGCCTCCCAAGAAGAAGCCCGCTGTGAGTGCGCCCAAGGGCAAACCAGCAGCGAAACCGGGACAGGGTAGCATCATGTCCTTCTTCTCGAAGAAGTGAACAGCTCGTGGATAACCGGATGTTTTCAAAACGCGTCATTTCCGAGGCTGTTCTCTGCTTCTTGTGCTCATATACCATGTCCAGGGGTTGTGACCGATATACGCTGGTTGACAAGTGCACTTCAGTTACCCAGGAAGTCATTGAAATTAAGCAGCGCAATGAATGGTCCAGCCCTGGCATCTCCGCGTCAACCCAGACTAGGCTCACACCCAGTATACCCTTCTTTGGTACGATGCCGTGGACTGTTTATTACATGTCATCAATATCTGGTCTGCCATTTCTCCTTATCCCAATGCCTACACGGTTCAAGCATACAGCGCTGCATCTATGCTATATAGCTTCATTGTTTTTGTTTGACACGCCGAGCATTTCAACCCACGTAATACGCCCAATTCATGTACTATTAGGTAGAGCTTTGACTATACAAATATTTGTGACGTATTTGCAGCGTTCTTGAGTGTGCTCCCATTCGAAATGGACAATCTTTTTTCATAGTTTTGATTGTCATGAATGCGGCTGGCTCTGATAGGCACTGAAAGATGATAGCCATTATCCAATCCATCATTTACTCTATTGTACCAATTCTGGACTAAAGTCAATGCTTCGAAGCGCAGTAGGATAGCGTTCAAGTTATGCTTAAGCGAATACCGTCCTGGGATGTGATCGACAAGCTAATGCCAACATTTAATATAAATGGTGTCAGGCGACTATCGGAAAGACTCTTGAGCCATCGGCTGATCAAGGCACTTGATCGAGCGGAGAATTATTACTAGACATGACAAGACTAGTAGATGTATAACGCAGAGAGCAATGGATGCAAATCTGACCTGCAGTGAGTTGATTAACTGCCATGAAGTATGTGCATTCCGGAGGGTTCAAAGGCATCCTGCAGGGCAAGAGTGAGTTGGTATGATGGGATGGGAAATAATACTGCCGGGAATCCGGGGGATCAGCGAGGAAATCGGCTGTTTGCGATCTTCTTCCCCGCATTCCCCTGCCTTCCCCTGTCATCCCCCAACCCGCCCACTTCAAAACATGCCATTGTTCCCCCTAATTCTTTTTCAAGGGTCAATGGCACACTGGTTCAACCTTCCGGCCTCATAGTACAAACAAACCATCAGCGACAACCGCTATCCAGTCGTCAAGATGCGCTCGTTGTCGCTGGCCGTAACCCTCGCCGCCGGCTTGGGTGCAAGGGGAGCTGCAGCTCGCGATGAGCCTTCCATTCTACGTCGGGCTTGTCCAGACTACACCTCTTATGCTTCTACTGGACAGTAAGGGATTATCCACTTGAAACAACGTTTGTGACAGCCTGCTCATACTCTTCTTCAACTCAGTGCCCCATACAGCGGTGGTCCTCTGAATCTGCCCTACCAAAGACCCGCAGCAGAATGTCGGACCTTTGTCTCAAACGCAGTAGAGCAGGTCATCGACGATGTGACCTCGCGCATGGTAGACAAAGACATGGCTCAGCTGTTTCGCAATGCCTTCCCCAACACACTGGATACAACCATTCGCTGGCATGTCAATAGCACGTCCGCTAGTACTTCCTCCTCTCGGAAGATGAGACGAGACAGTTCGCAATGGCAAGGAGCTCAGACTTTTGTCGTGACTGGAGACATCAACGCAGAGTGGCTGCGCGACTCGACAAATCAATTGACAGGCTATCAAACACTGGCAAAGAAGGACCCGGCTCTCTACAGTCTCATCCTCGGGGCCATACACACGCAGGCTGAGTTCGTCATTCAATCGCCCTACTGCAACGCGTTCCAGCCTCCTCCACCCAGTGGGATTCAAGCAACAAGCAACGGCCAGCAAGACACCGTCCATCCAGCGTATGAGCCCTCTGTTGTCTACGAATGTAAATACGAGCTCGACTCCTTGGCCAACTTCCTCGCTCTGGGAAACGAGTTCTACGAAAACACCGGATCCACCGAATTCCTCACCAGCCGGTGGTATCTCGCCCTGGACACACTCCTAAACACCACCGACGCCCAGTCCCAGCCAACCTTCAACAGTAACCATCAGTATGTCCAGAACCAGTACACCTTCCAGCGCCAGACAACCCTCGGCACGGAAACCCTCAATCTGGCCGGGATCGGGAACCCGCTCAGCGGAGGCACCGGACTCATCCGCAGCGCATTCCGTCCCAGCGATGACGCCACTATCCTGGGCTACTTCATCCCAGCCAATGCCATGATGTCCGTGCAATTGAAGAAGACCGCGGATCTGATCCGCGCAGCTGGCGGCGACTCGACCCTCGCATCCAATCTCCAAACCCGCGGAGAGAACCTCGAGCAAGCCGTCCGTCAACACGGCATTTTCAACCACCCAACGTACGGCGATGTCTACGCTTTCGAAGTAGACGGATACGGCTCGCGCATCTTCATGGACGACGCGAACATTCCATCCCTCCTAGCCCTGCCCTACTTAGGCTTCGTCGATAAGGGCGATCAAGTCTACCAAAACACCCGCAAGATGATCCTCGACCCTAATGGTAATCCATACTACCTCACTGGATCGGACTTTCACGGCATCGGTGGACCTCACAGTAAGCAATGCCCGAACCCTAGAACTTTGAAATCGGGACAGCTAACACAGATGCATTAGTTGGTCTCGAAAACGCCTGGCCTATGTCCCTGCTCGTGCAGGCATTGACTACCGACAACGTCACGGAGATCACCGACTCCCTTAATCTAGTCCGCAACTCCAGTCTTCTCGGCTTAGTCCACGAGTCCATCGATGTCAACAACATCAAATCATACACGAGACCGTGGTTCGCGTGGGCGAACTCTGTCTTTTCCCAAACTATACTCAAAGTCGCGGCTGAACAACCAGAGGTTCTATTCGGAGATGGAGCGGAGCCGTATGTCATTTCTTAGATGCTTGCTACTCCATCACTTTGATTAGCATAGCGTGTGCATAGTGCAGTGTGCTATAATATACCCGGCCTGTTCATCTATGGGCTATCAAATAACAGTATCAAGATTTAAGTGTATATGAACATGTTGAACTTAGTAACCTTCATTCCACACAATGCAAACTAAGCACTATAGTATGTATATATACGCTCCATACAAACCATGCAACCCATTCATACAAATATAAAACCCCACACCCTTCTATAAACTAAATCTACACCAACACCCTCCTCAACCCCTCCGTCCCCCCAAGCACTCTCCTCCCCGTAACCGGACACCTCCCCTTCCCACTCTCCCACTTCCCACGTCTACTCCTCGACTTCTTCATTTCCTCCTCATCACCATCCCCACCCTTATTCCCCTCCTCACCCCCCTCCAAATCATCATCCGCCCACGCCGCGCCCGCACCCTCCCCATTCATGAAATCCAACTGTCGCTGATGCTCCCCATTCAACCAGTGGAAGATACACACATAGCAGTAAACATACCCCGTCTGACACGCCGTAGGATTCGTAAGCGCATTCAAACAGATCGGGCACGCGGACGCGACATCCGAGTCTGGCGGGGGAAGTGGCACGGTGAAGATGGGTAGGTATGAGGTTGCGGAGATGGGGGGTTGGATGCGTGTGCGTGCTGGCGGGGTTGTTGATTTGAGTGCTGATTTGAGGGTTGGGGATGATGGTTGCTGCTGTTGCTGTTGTTGTTTCTCTGCGGCAGCGGCGGCTGCTTTACGCTTCTCCGATGGAGGCGTCATTCCTGCTGCGACGGGGGCAGGGAGGTCCAGGACCTCGGTTGCTTTGCGTGCGAGTTGCCGCGAGAAGTCACTCGCGTGCCACCATTCGAGGAACTTGAGGGCAAAGATTGACGCCGGGAGGAAGTAGCGGAGGGAGGTGAGGAGTTGGGGGTAGAGGTTCTGCGGGCTGAGGAGGCCCAGGAGGCCGGAGCCGGGGCGGGTGCGGGCGCCTGCGCCGCCGGGACCAGATCCGGGAGTGGGTTTAGGGTCGAGGATGGAGGCGATGGCGCGGTGGTCTGCGGAGCTGAGACGGCGGATGCGGGTGCCGATGAGCCAGAGGAAGGGGGAGGAGTATTTAGTGTTGTCGAAGAGGTAGGCGAGGTTGAAGGCGATGATGGAGAAGTAGTAAGCGGCGTTGACGGAGGGGTAGATGTTGCGGAGGAACCACTTGTAGTAGTGGAGGAGACGTTGGCGGATTGTTGGGTTTGGAGGGAGGTCGTCGCCTGGGTTGTATCTGGGGCCGCCGCTCATGATTAGGGATGCTTGTGGTGCGGCGTGGATGTCGTAGCCTTCGTCGAGCTTGCGCTTTAGGTAGGGGATTCCGACGAGGACGAGGAGGTTCTTCCAGACGTCGGAGGTGCGGAGCTTGAGGGCTTCGCGGACGGGGCCTGGGGCGCCGAGTTGGGCGCGAGGAATCTCGCCATTCTTGGTGAGGAGGACTCGTTCGCGTTTGAGCGAGTAGAAGTTCTCTGTGAAGGAGCCGCCGAAGGTGCGGAGGTAGTAGCGTTCGACGACGAGGGAGAGGAGCGCGTAGATCTCGTCGTAGGAGTTGAGGATTCGGAGGAGGTATCGTGGATGGCGATGGGTCGCGACGGCGAGGATGTATCGGATTGAAGGGGGGAGAAGGTCGGAGAGCTGTTGTTCGGCGAGCAGCTCTGCGATGGGATGCGGGTTAGTCGTGTGTTTGTTGAGATGGTTTGGGGTGTGCGATAAGGCACGTACCGAACAGCGATGGCTTCAGCTCATCGAATTCTTGCTGCAGACTGGGAAGGTATTCCATGATGGCAGCAGAAGGCCAGTCATTGGCCCCTAGGTGGAAGAAGCAGTTGGGATGGGGGAACTGGGTGGAGGATGGAGAGAATGCGGAGGTGCAGCTGCTGCTGCGGTGGATGTCAATCCGATGGCGGCGAGTTGAGCCGAGGCTTATCGGCACCCGTCAACCAGGTCCGGATCCACCGTCACATTCACATCCACTACTTCTACTTTACTGCGCAATAAGAGGGAATTGGGATTGTGTTATTTACTAGTACAGTGTCTACTATTTACAATGACTTAATGGGGCATCACTTTAGCATCTTCATCTGGCATGCGTTCCAGAATCGGACCAGATTGCTCGTCGATCCTTCCGCGGCCTTTTGCACAATATCTGGATCGGCAAGCAAAAGACAGCGCTTGATATCTACCAAGAGCTCTCCCTCGAGGGGTATCGGGTTTTCCTCTCTCCTCATCATCGGAATCCATGTTGATACGCAGTCCCGGGCACGGAGTTCATCTCCCAGATCAGCATGCAACCGGAACAACATCTTGTAGTCAGCAGCCGTGCGCAGACTTCCATTGAGGGGACCCTTGCGCCACAACTTCCAAAATCCATTGTAGTCGCCGTGCTGAAAGAGCGATAGCATAAGGTTGCGGGCTTGCTCGGGTTCAAAGGGTAGGTCAAGGGTATCGATTAGGCGAGACACCC